AAAAGGGCTGTGTGAAAAAGTTTAATAAATTTGATCCTCGGTTCCAAACAAACAGCCCCATAAATACAATTTAAATTACTATTAAATTGAGGAATTCGTTGATTACTTTATTTTTAAAAATTTTATTTTAAAGCTCTTCAATGTTACAGCACAGAAAAGAAAAAAGAAATTCATTGTAAACACCAATTTCTGCATGATGAAGAAATTATGGGAGAAATAATGAAATGTTATACAGCTCTATGTTTTGAAATTACAAATAAAATATATAAAAGTTTTTAATAATTATTTTTAAATTTAAAATTAAATAAACTAGTTAAAAAGGGCTGTGTTGAACCAATGTATGGTAAATGCCGTCCTTTAATGTGTGGATTTAATTATCACGATGAAGTGTGTAATTTATGTTCAGGGAATAATTGTAATGTAAATGGAAGTGAAACAATTGAATTTAAAAATAAAGTTGAGAAAAATAAAGGAGAAGGAAAAGGTTAATAAAATTAAATTTTAAATAAGTATTTAGGTAATTTAAAAATTTTTAGGGAAAACAAAACAACTTCCTATTGATGTAATAAATCAAACTCCCTTAAAAGATAATAATGCTGCAATAGTGAAGCCAAAAGAAAAGATTTTAAACGAAACAAAAAATTATAAAGGTGTTAAATAAATAAATTTAATTTGTAAAATATTTCTAATAAAATTATGGGAAGTTTAATTTAGAAAGATTCTAAAGTTTGTAAATTAGCGATAGGACTCTTTGGGAGGAATTTACTCTTTGGGAAAAATACAATGCTATCCGATTATCTTCCCGAATTTTCCTTTTTTCTGATTATTTTCTACAGGAATATTATTAACTAATTATTACCGAATCGAAAATTTATTTTCTGAAGAACCATAATTATATTTATACGCTATTGAACATTTTAAATTTTAAGGAAGAAAGGAAAATGGGGGAAAACAAAACTAAAAATATGTACATAATATAAAAATATTTGTTAAAATCAAGTTTACTCATAAAAATAGTCTTCAATTTTCAAAAATAAAATTATCAGATCATATTTCATTAAAAAATTCTAGTAATTAATTGTCTTGTATATAACCCATATTCTGATAAACAAACAACAGAAGAATGCCCAGGAGGTGTTTGTTATGTTCAAAGATGCATAGATTCAGAGAATAAACCAGGCATAATATAAAAATACCTAATTATTTTGACATATTTTTAGGTTTTTGGCATGGATGTATAAAATGGAAACAAGATTTTAATTGTTTAACAATTGGATGTGCATACAATAATGAACGTAATTTTAAACCAAAAGCTTGTTTTAAATGTTCAACAGATTTGTGTAATGGAAGTGGAAGGAATAGTAGAAGTATTGGAAATATTTTTATAATATTTTTATTATTTACATTTTTAGTAAAAATAAGTTTATAGTAAATAAATAAATTTTAAATTATAATTTAAATAAAAATAAATAAAAATATTTATTTATAAAAATATTTAATTTGGTTTTAATACAAAATAAATTAATTTTAATAAATATTAATGTTAAAAAAATAATTTTATCAAACAAAAATAAATTTAAATGAATTTTAACTAAAAATGGAAACAAGACTTTAACTGTCTATCAATTGGATGTGCATCATTTGGATGTCTATTAAAATTATAAAAATAAATATCAATTTTTAAAAATATTTCCCTAATCGAGTAATAATAAATCGTTTTGTAATAAATAAAATGTTTGAATATTATTTCTATCATTTTTCAATATTTTTGGAATTCTTTCACGGATTTCTTTTGAAAATTTTTCTAATCCAATAATTTCATCTAATTCTTTTGTTTCTTCCATTTCTATTCCAACTAACCAAAATTTACATATTGAACCGCTATAAATTAATTAATATTAAAATTAGGAAATTTATGGTTTAATAACAAAAATTATCAAATTTAGAAATATGTAGGAGGACCATATTATTTTAAAAAACTCGCAACTGTTACATAATACAGTCAGATCACAATTTGAATACATCCAAAATTCAATAAACCCTCGATTTTACTTAAATTTGGTCATCCCAAAGGCATACCTATATAGTAGAATCGAGATGGGCGGTTGTGAAAAATTTGGGCCGGATCTCAGATCCTGTTTTCAAAATTATATTTGGATTTGGGTGAAAAAGAGCGGGTTTGAATAACACGTCCATCACCTTTTAATTCTCTAGTTTTTCTTAATTTTTTAGTTATGCATATCTATTTAATTTTTAAACAAAAGATTTTATCTTTAAAAAATTAAAAATTACTTTTCCATTTTCTCAACAAATTTCTTTCCATTTTCAACAAAACATTTATTAATTGGTTCTTCCCAAAAATGTGTATAACGTAAATTAATATTTTCAATAATTAAATTAATTAATTGAATTCTAATTGTGCTCTCAATAAAAAAACAAAATTTTTCTAAATTTTTGTTGTTTTCAGAAATACAAGAAATTAACATAAAATGGTCATACTAAAAATTAAATATTTTTTTTTAATTATTTAAATTTCAAAAAAATGTCTCTTACTTTTTGTATAGATTTATTTTCATTTCCAATTAATTCTTTTAAAGCCAATTTAATTTCATTTTCATTTTTTATTTTGTTTAATTTTTTCATTTTTAAATAACCTTTAAAATTATATTTGAATATAATAATTTTTAAAAATAAATTCACCGATCTATTTTACTAATCATCCTGGGCAATTAAAAGGTTAAACAAATGAGAATTAACTTTAAATTCACAATATGGGGATATTAGTTTCTCGCCGGACCCGCAAATTTGGAAACCGCAACCGGAACCAAAAAATCCCAGAACTTCCGGCCTATCGGAACCGGAACTTCCGGCGTAACACTACTAGATATCCGAACTCAATCTACATATAAGGTTACAATCCCACCACATTTAACTGTATTACAGGAAAAGCTTTTTATCTACATATGAATAAGTGTGCGGAGTATAAAATTTTAAAATAATCGAAACGACCCTTTAAAATTTGATAATTTAGAAGATCTTCAGTTTTATTTTAGTTAAAAATATAAATTTATATTAATTTACCTTTAATTAATTCTCTCTGAATAATTTCAAAAGTTGAAAGGTTAACATTAAACATTGTATTTTGTTCAGGATATCCAGGTGTTATAATTGTCATAAACATTGGAATTAAATATTTTAATTTTCTTTTTTTATTAATTTCCTCAACATTATTTTTATATAAATTATTTTTTGATTTAATATCCAAATTATAATTCCATCCTTGAGAACCAAAATTTGTTAATTTTTCAATTTTTATTGGGTATTTCCAATTCCTTTAAAATTAAAATTATTTTTTAAAAATAATATTTAATGACCAATTTAAATAAACAAAAAAGAATTTTTCCAACAGAAAAGGCACAGAACCAGTAGGAAATAAAAGAATTAATTTTGCTGTCAAAATAGATAAAGAAGATCCATTTAGATAGCCATATTTTCCTCCATAAATGAAATTACCTTAAAAAAATAATTAGGTTTGATCAAAAATATTATAAAAATTATTTTAGAATATATCCTATTCTTAATTAATACAAGACTATTGGTGAAGGTTATGGCCATTCGAATACGAATAAAGTAAGGATTTCTGGAAATTTTCGGTTCAGATATCGTATCCGTATATCCAGGGATTCCCCAGGATCTGCCATCCTTATCAAAAAATTTCAATATTAATTTTATCATTAGATGAAATCAAAAAAATCTATCTCCTTCTATAAATAAGCCTATCAATTTAATAATTATTAAAATTAAATTTCCACAAAATTTCCACAAAATCCCTCAAAAACAACCTTTCGCCCAATATTTTAACGTTTTTAAAACAATTCTAAATTTATTAATTAATTTATTATTTCCATTAATTTCCAATATTTCCAAAATTAATTTATTTGATTTATACCCTCCAATTGAGAACATTCTTCCTTTAATTTGGTCAATTTCTTTATTTTTAAAATAAATTAATTTTGATAAACGATTTCTTTCAATTAATTCTTTACTCATTTTAATATTTAATAACCAAGGTTTTTCTTTTTTTAATTTTTCTATGTTATTTTCTTCCTCAATTAATTTATTTTTATATTTATTTTCATGTTCCTTAAATTATTTTTTGAGATTTTCAATTAAATTCTAAAAGGACTTGAAGGATAATTAATTATAAATTCTAAAACCCGGGCATTCTTTTCTTCGAAAGCAAAAATATTTTTTGAAATTATTTGCCCAGAGAAGCTCAAATTAATTTATTTTTTTAAAAATACCTCCAATTTTATTTCCAATTTTCTTTTACTTTCCTCACTTTTCCCAATTAGCATTTCCAATTTTTTAAATATTTCATTAAAATTATTAATTCCTTTTTCTGTTTGAGTATTTAAATTCTCAATTTTTCCAATAAATTTACCAGGAATTAAAACTAAAGAAATATCAACATCAATACCAAAAATTTTCAATTTAATCGTTTGTATTCGAGAATTAATTTTATATAAGAAATTAATTTCCTTCTGAAAAAAAATAAAAAAATTTTAAATAAAATGTTTGATTAAAATTCAATTTGTACTTTTCTGCTATCTCTTGCCATTTTCCTTTTTTCCTAATCTGATCGGCCTTTTTCCTAATCTGATTCATAAAAATTTTACGACTTGATAAGTGAAAGAAAATTTGTTATCACACTTATCGACTTGTAAATTTTTTATGGGAGATCAGACTTGATCCATCCAGTTGGAAAAAAGATTGGACATATAAACAGATTTCGAGTGATATAATATTCATTAAGAAAAGTAAAAGTTATATCCGATCAAATTAATATTTTCAAAAATCTAAAAAAATTCTCAAAGGTATATTTTCTTGAATCTTATTATCTAATGAGCAGAGAAAGAAGTTCAGGGTACCGTCTCATCGTAAGGCTCAATACTTTTAACACCAAAGGGGTGCCTACAATTGAGACTATATAATAAGATCTAATCAGAAAATAATACATCAAAATATCCACAAAATCTGCAATAAAGAGATTTATTTAAATGACCACATCCATTTTCTAAATTTTGGCAATCAACAAATTCTGGCCCAAAAAACTCCAAAGAAGTTATTGGACATTTAATTAAATTATTATTTTCATCTTCAATTTCCTCGTGAATAATTAAAATAGAATCAATGTCTGATTTATTTATTTTCCCTCCCAATAAATGAGAACCACCCAAAATAAATTCTTTATTTAATAAACAATTAAATTCTTTAGACCATTCGTTTATTTCTTTTAAAATTATTTTTATGGCCATTTCTTCATTTTTTTCGGAGGAAGAATCTTCTAATTCTTCAATTAATTCTAATAACTTAAAAAATATTTTTTAAATAAAAAATAATATTATTATTTTAATAAAAAATAAAAAATATTTTTACTTTATTTGTAAATAATTCTTCTTGTTTTTCCTTATTTTCTGTTTGTTCATATGGAAGTTTTTGTAATAAATGAAAATCAATTAGAGAATTATTGTTGTATTTGTAACAATATTCTTGTGGAATTTCTTGTTCTTTTACTAAAAAATAATTGTTTATTCTATAATATTTTTTTTAATATTTTGTTTATATCTACCAAGGATATCACGGGTTAAGAGAAAAGGAGTCGGTCTGTGTTGGCTTTTCAAAATCCGTTTCAGATCGGGTATCGGGGTTTCAGGTAACCCGTGACATCTCTGATATCTACCAGAATTTCAAATTTAAATTTTAATTAAACATTCCCCTTCTTCCTAACCTATTTTCATTTGATTTTCAATTATTTTCCATTCAACAACTTTTAAATTAAATTCTTCTTCCAATTCTTTTTCATTTTCACAATTATCAACAATTATTTTATTTTTAATATTTTCATTATTTAAAAAAGTACAAAGAATTCTTTTTTGCCTGGAATGTCTTATTTTTGACCATTTATTATCGAAAGCTTCTATCAAATATTTAATATGTAAATAATTTGTAATTATTATAATTTCTGATTCTTTCGCAACAATAATCTCTTTATTTTCGCTCGAATTGTCTTCATAAAAATTTTCTAAAATTTAATTTTAAATATTTAATTATTTCAATTATATTTCACAATTCTTGCGCGCAATTGCCTATAACTTTTGCGGTTTTTTATGATTTTCTCGCAATTTTTAGAAATTTGGGATTTAGAAATGATGGAACATTCATAAAATATGTTTAGAATTTTAGTCAAAAAATAAAAAAATAAATAATTTCTACAGCTAGGCTTGGTAATAATTTAAAAAATTTTTGCTGCGGCTGTTTTGTCCGCATAAATATTCATAATTGCTCAAACAATTTTATTCTTTAATTTTTTTTATCAAATAAAACTAAACCTTCATTCCTCAAATATAATTCCTTCAAAAAATTGTGAACTATTATTTCCACTTCTTCAAGTCTTTTATCTGTTTTAATCTCTCCAAATTCTTCCAATAATTTTAACCAACTTTCTTTCATTTCATCAATTCCTTCTTTTATTGGAATTAAATTAAATGAAGAATTTTCTAAATCAATTTGTTGTTCCGAGTCTGTTTGTGAGATTGTACCCAAACGTTTGCTAATTTCAACAACAATACAACCAATATTTAATGAGGGAATTAGTTCGGCAGTTCTAAATTTATGAAGAATTTATATAAAATATAACTCATGTTTATAGTTATCATTATAACACAGTTGGAGGTGTAACATAATCACATATATTCGGGAATGGGAGATAGTTTTGAAAGGATATTCGAGACATGATAAGAGAATATTGTAAACACCTACATTGAGATTTCCTCCTATCGTCCCAGGCGAAAATTTTCGAATTCTCAAAATGCCAACAAACACGGGGAGACTCTCTTTAAAATAATCTTTTAAAAACTTACCCAGTTCCTTTTCCAAATTTTTTATAACCATTTAATAATTCTTCCTTTTCTAAATAATTTTTAGGCAAAAAGGCTTTAAAACTCGAAATTTCTTCAATTTGTTTTTGTTGCTGTTTTTGCTTTCTTGAATTCCTTTTATTTATTTTTAAATTATTTTTAGAATCCTCAATTAATTCATTTTTCTCATTATCTTCTTCATTGGGTAATTCTATCGCACCTATTATTTAACACTTATTTTTATATTTGGGAATTAATTTTTAAAAAATTATTTTTTTAAATTAAAATTTATTATTTTTTAAAATAAGAAATTTATTTTTGGTCCTCTTTCGAAATACAAAAAATATAGAAATAAAATTTTCTCAACCCGAAAATATCCCTCTCAAAACACTTACCGCTTTTTCCTTCTTCAAAAATATTTTTATCATTTTTTACATCTAAACTATTTGGTAATACTTTTAATTCTTCATTATCTAATCCTTCTAATTCCTCCTCCTCTTTATTATTATTTTTATTTTCCAAAATATTTTTATTTTTCTTTTTATTTTTTTTCTTCTTTTTATTATTTTCTTTTTCATTATTTAAAGTATTATTTTCCGAATTTAAAAGGCTGGAAATTAATTCTTTTGTCATTTCTTCACTAATAATTTTACTTATTTTTTCATGTTGAAATGAAGGGTCTTTTTTAATTTCTAAAATAAAATAATTTATTTGTTTATAAATTCTAAAAATTATTTTTTAATTAATTAATAAATTTAATATTTGGTAGAAAGTGAGAGAGGTTACTTTTCCGTTATACGACCGCAAACTGACTACCATTTTTGATGCTTGATTTAATACAAAAGAATTTAACATCATTCGAAAGCCCTCAATAAGTTTTATCGTTTTTCCAACTTGATGGATCAGGTCTGATCACCAATTAGAAAGTTATAACCCAATAACTGTGAAAAATACTAAATAACTTATCGGGTATAACTTATCAGGTTAAAAACTTATCAGGCTAGTTCCAGGCATTTACTAGTTCCGTAGTTCTAGTTCCAAACTAGTTCCAGATAATCGTTAGTCCCGTAGTTCTAGTTCTGGAACTAGAACTAGAACTAATTAGTTCCGAAAATGGAACTGGAACTTTGACATCACTGCATGGTACGGCTCAGAAAACTTAGTCGTATATCTGGAGCCCAGATCACCAGGTATCCCTCAAATCCCCATTATCACTTCATATCCAGTGATATCTCCTTAAATTAAATTGCTTGATTAAATTAAATTTGTTCAAATTTCAATAAAGCTTTAGTTTTTGTTCTGAAAATGTCGTTGAGTTAATTAAAAATTTTCCCTTTTCACAAAGAGAATTGTTAATTATTACTTAAATTTTTAAAAATTATTTTTAACCTTCTAATGCCCTCATTCTTAATTCTTCTCCATAATCAGTTTTACTAAAAATTATTTCATTTAAATTTTCATAATGCATATGTTTTAGCCAATTAGTAAATTCTTCTTTAAACGGCAAAAACATAAATGCTCGGAAACTCTCTTCTCTTATTTCTTTAAATTCTTTCTTCAAAACCCCTGCAGAACTTTTTTCTCCTTTAGAAAATTCTCCCTTTTTCATCCTTTTTCCTATACTTTCAAGCATTTCTTGAAACCATAAAGAAAGTTGTAGACCATATTTTTGTAAATTTTTGTTATCATTAAAATGTTCCTGAATTATAATTAATTAAATTATAAGTAATTATTCTGTAAGAAAGTAGTTAATATGAACTTTCTAAGATTTTGTAGTAAAAATTAGGTTAGATGCTAAGAAGTAAACAAAAAATTTTTGTGATTTCTAATAATTTGCTTAAATCATCAATACGCGATCGATTTTGAAAAATATGTTCCTAAATTCCACGGGCGGCCGGATATTATCCGTATCCATGGCCATTTCTGATTTAATTTATGTAACTCAATAACTCATTATTATGTAATTTACATATTATTAATATGATTTGGAAATAAAATTTTCTATTTTACCGAAAATATTAAACAAAAATATGATTCATTCCCATTTGATTCCCAAGCATTTAACACACTGTTACGTACTCTTTGATTTGGCCAATTATGTAAATTATTTATTTGTTTAATTATTCCTCTTAGCCAAACAATGAAATCTGCGGCAAACTTAAAATATTTAAAATTAATTTTTGATTTTTTGGGACTGACCTTGTGTTTTAAACTTTTTATCATATCTTCAGTAAATATTGCTTCTTTATAATGTAAAGCTAATTTCGCATTATTTTTGAAGTCTTAATATTAAATAAGAATTATTAATTAATATATTTTTGGAGCTTAGCAAAATATGTGGAAATAAATATATAAACCGGGCCTGATATTTTTGTGAAGTAGGTTCCAAAATTATGATTTTTGAGTGATATAAACGGTTAAAAATCTAAACAAGGCCAAAATAGGTCCGAATTTTAACCAAATATGAAAAAATTGGGAGTTTCACAGAAATAGAATCTGAACAAATTAATCGTGCCAAGCTCTACTGAGTATGTTTCACTGGATTTTTTAAGGAGTTTTAGAAAATTGATGACTTTCATTAATATCCGCGGATCGTATAGAAAGTTTTTTCTCTGAAAAACTTCAATTTCAATTTTTGTATTTATTTTCTTTCAGCGAAACACGAATCTTAAGCATATTACTATTTAGTTTTACTATCTATTTTCAAAAATATTTTTTTAATAACTAAAAATTATTTAAAATTTATATACGATTAGGATCTTTCAATTCTCCATCTTTTGTGCAATATTCATTTTCATCTGTATATTTAAATTTGATATCTATTAACATTTTAGCTTTCGATAGACCAACAAACATTTCCAATCTTTTTATAATAACTGCTTTACTATTTTCTTTTATTTCTTTTGAATAATTTTTTAAACTTCTAAGCGCAAAATAATGTTGGTTTTGCGAAAACTTTTTATAATTATTTATAACATCCTCTTCATCTAAATATTTCATTTTTCCTTTAAAAAATTTACTTGTCAATTCATTTAATGATTTAATTTCTTGAAAATTTCCTTCCTTTATATTAAGTAAATACATGTAAATATTTAACATAAATTCTTTAAAATAATATTGATCATTTTCCATCAAATTTATTGGCAATTTTTGAGAAGAATCTGTTAAATTATATATTTCTTAAATACTGTAAAGCATATAGCTATTTAATTCCTAAGGCAGTGCAGTAGACGATGTGGTGTAATGGACATCAGTCCGGTCTACTGAAGATGCTGGTTCGCTCCCAGCCGCCGAATAACCTTTTGCACTAGCTAAAGGAGAGAAATAGCTATAGCCCAGCTCTGCTTTACTTAAATATATTAATATCTTATTTTAATTAAGTTGTTGAAGGTAAATTATCCGAAACGTAATCAAAGACCGGTCTTTTGGCCCATCAATCAAAAAATAAGCTGACGTTGTCCGAAAATCGGTGACCAACCCCTCCATGTTTCGGTTTTAAAAATATAATTCAAATTTGGATACATTAAATTATATTTTTAAATTGTTATGCTCGTAGAATTGTCCTTAAGTTTTTATTAATTTCGATCCTCTAACTAATTTAAAAAATAATTTTAAAAATTTAATTTAACCATTTTCAATTAATATACAATAAATATTTTGTATATTTTTATTTTTCCATTCATTCCATTCTTTTGCAGCGTCAAAATCTAATTTTTTTAATTTTCCTTCATTAACGTTAACATCAATAAATCTCATCCATACAATAAAATCTGCAATTAATTTATGTTTTTCTTGTATTTGCTGAGAATCGTTATATAATGCTTCATTATAATGATTAATTAAAAATTCAGCTTCATCAATAATTCCTAAATTATTGTTTTTTGAAGGATAAATTTAAATCGAAATATTTTTTGAATTTACTTATGATAAAAATATACTAACTGTGTTATTGAGTGGTATTTATCCGTTATAAAAAGAAGGTATGGAGGGTAGACATCAGTGTTTGGAATTTTGAAATTTGCTCGTACACAGGTACGAGTACAAGTACGAATTTTGTTACTATCTTCCAAATATTGGTAACCATTCTTCTATTGGCCAATAAAGTGGCGGATCCGGATATCCGTTCCGAAAAAGGTCCGGATATCCGGAAATTTTCGGTTCGGATACCGGATCCGGATATCCGAAGATCTTACAAGTTTCTAGTCTTAATATATTAAAATAAATATTTTTAATTAAGCGAATACTTTTTATAAAAATATCCTTTTCCTCTTGTTTGCAAATCTGTTTAATTGAGGTTATTTGATCATTATCATTCTTAATATCCTTTATTTTATTTTTTCCTTTAAAATTATGTTTATTATCTCCATTATTCTCATCTGGTAATTTAATTGAAGAACAAGAATCCAAATTAATTTTGTTATTTTCAATTAATTTTAAATCATATTCTATAAAAATTAAGTATTTAGTTTTAAAATATATTTTAAAGTTAAAATTATTTAAATCCTTTGGAGAAAGAAGGGTTTTTTATGAAAAAAATTTAAAAAATATTTAATTTACCAGAATTTGTGTTTTTATTTTCTAAAATCAATTTAAAACTTTTATCAAATTCATTTTTTATCCAAATATTATATTTATTAACCTCTCGATCGTTTAATAATTTATTATTTTTTATACTAATTAAATTTCCTCTAATTATTTCAATTATTGGAGGTTCTAATTTCTTCCATTCTTTTCTTAAATTTTCTAAATTTTTTAATTCATTTTCTGCTTCCTTTCCTTTAATTGTCATTTTATTCTCAACTAATTTTTTGGTTTTTAACTGCCAAAGTTCGCAAATATAAATAACTTTCACATGTTGTTCATCAGCTTTTTGTTGTCCATCATTTATAAATATCCAATCATATATTAGATCTATACAAATACGCCTTTCATCCCAAATTTTGATTATTGCTTTTTGAAGATTTTTATCCTTCCAATCATTGCTTGACTGCAATTTTAAATTAAAAAATTTTTTTTTAAATTTCGGGGCCAACCCTCCCCCTCCCCCCCCCCCAAGAAATAAAAACACAAATTAAAAGAAAAAAATTTATTTAAATTAAATCCAAATATATAAGCTGCTCGGCTGTTGGTAAGTTGGTTGAAAAGTAAGTAGAATGAGAAGAGGAAGAAGTGAATTAAAGTTTTTAGGGGAAAGCGACAGCCGAGCGAAAAATGCAAAATAGGTGGAGTTTTAACAATTTTTAAGTCGGGACCAAAAAATCAAAAAGCGAGGATTGCCAGTCGGCACATTTACCTTTATTTAAAAATTCTTTATTTTAATATTAGTAAATAATTAAATTTGATGGTTATCAAAAACGCATATAATGGAGACTCAAATTTTCATTTCGAATTTCAGGATATTTTTTCTAGTTAGTAACTCTTAAATATTTTTAGTCCCAATAAATCTACTAAAAACTGTAAAATTATTTTAATTTACTTTAATTAAATTATCCATATAACGATAATAGCAAAACAGATCCATTGCTATTTTATCTAGTATTCTTTGAAGTTTATTTTCTTCTTGTGATTTGGACATAGTATGATATATAAAATTCTTATTATCCCAATAATAAACTAAAAATTAAAGAATTTATTTTTTTTAGAATTCCAAAATAAACCCAACTTTTTTCTCTTAAATTAAATTCATCACAAAATTTATTAAATTTTTCCATATCTTCATTTATTAATTTTAAAAATCTTGTTTTAACGCCAAATTCAGATTTGAATGTGTTTAAAATATTTTGGTCATTTTTAAGTTTTTCAGTTAAAAATTGAATGTGTTGTTCTTTTAAATATTCGCGTTGCTCTCTAAAAGTTAAAAAAAAACTTTGATTTTGGTTTTTCTCTTATAAAGGGTGACCAAGAATATAAATATTATTTATAAAAATTTAATTATCAAAATAAATTATCAAAATTATCAAAATAGAAATTTTGGCGGAGCTCTGAATTTTTAGTTATCCCCTTGTGTTTAAAAAATCGTCTCTTATAATTAGGATATCTTAACTTAAGAGTTGCCCTTTTCACCTAATGGCCAACCAAATAATAAAAAATCTCAAATTTAAGAATTTTTTGTATACCTATATATATCTAAAAATGAAGGTTGTCTCTAATTATAATTAATTAATTTCAATTTTACCTAACAATTTTGTCTTCAGTTTTTATTTTACATTGATTTAAATTCATCTTCAATTTCTTATCATAAGAGGATAAAATATTTAAAATATTATTGGCTGATTTTATTCTTATAGTTTTTAAATCATTATTAATTCTAATAATTAAACAAACTATCCACAAATTTTCAAAATTTTCAAAAATATTTTTTCTCAAAATTTTAACAAATTCCTCAGCTTTTTTAAATAAATTTCCTTTTTGAATATCTGTTTGTTTAGAATATTCCAAAAATTCTTTTTCAAATTTATAAAATTCTGTCAACAAAAGTGATAAAGAAATTCTTTTTTCAGAATATATTTCAAGTCCATCATAATCACTTTTTAATTTAATTTCATCTTCTTCCTTGTTTATTTTATAAATTATTTGCTGGTAAAGTAACCAACGATATTCATTATCCATTATATCTAAATAAACATTAAATTATTTTAAAATAAGTTTTTAATAAAATATTTAATT